CGTGGGAATGCGCGTGGCGAGGGAGAGGGTGGGGCGGCGGAAGGGAGGGATCGGTAGGGTGGAGAATGTAGTTCTGCATTGTCAGGTGGGTGGAAGGTGAGGTGAGGGCAAGGGAGGGTGGGGGAGGGAGAAGGGAGGGTGGGGGGAGGGAGAAGGGAGGGTGGGTGGTGAAGTGAGTGAGGTGAGGGGAAGCGGACGGTGGGGGAGGGAGAAGGGAGGGTGGAAGAGTAGGTGAGGGGATGGGATGTTGGGGGGGGGGGCGTATATAGGCTGTTCTCGTCTGTATAGTGTCTGTCAATACTGGATCCTAATGAGCTTATAATTTTCACAAATTTCATATAACGTTTTCCGTGTCTAATTATGAATGGTTTCTATTTTAAAGTGAGCATCGCCTCCCCCCCCCCCCCCCCCCCCCCCCCGTCTCCAATAGTGGATATGGTCGTACGTTAACCACTTACAAATCGTTTAGACAGATAACCATCCGTAAAAAGGCTAGAAAAGGTCGCGGTTTTGGTCACTTCTCGGGATATTTGACATAAAGAGCAATTTGACACTTAACGATGAAGGAATGTGTAATGGCCTCTTGTAAACTGCGGTTTGTAAAATGGGTATTATTGTTATTGTTACTGTAGAATTCTCTTCACTGTGACGATCGATATGCCTTTTGCAGTCAGTAAAACAAATATTTGAAGAATGTGAAGTTAAATAAATAAAACACTTACACAGAGTAACAATATTGCACATATAACTAATCAGTCCTATTCTGCACCCATGGATAAGCCGATTCTAAAGCCTTAATATCCCTGAGTCACCGCCAAACAAGGCTTGGTTATACCCGTAGAATAGCTTTCTTTAGCGGCTGGGCTTGGAATGTTGCCGAAAGGTTTTTTTTTTCTTTCTTTCTTTCTTTTTTTTCTTTTTTTCAGTTTGCACGTTGACTGTGGGTACCCGAAGGAGAGGCTGGCTGGATACTTCGTTAACCATTTGATTTGGGGATGGACTGTCAGCGGAGAATGGGCTTGTGCTGTTACCGCCCGCCGTGTGTGTGTGTGGTGTGTTGTGTGTGTGTAATGTGTGTGTTGTGTGTGTGTGTGTGTGTGTGGGTCGTGCTGTGATGTGTGTCGCTGATGTGTGTGTTGTGTGTGTTGTGTGTGTGTATACATAGGTATTACAGAGAGAGAGAAAGAGTATGTCGCCGTCCGGCGGGCTAAGTGCGACTTGGGGGCTCAATAAAGACCAAGTTATCGGATCGACACTGCTGGTCGGGAATATGTGTGTTGTGTGATGCTTTTTTTATGGATTAAAGAGGAGAGTGTCTCATTGGTCATATATAGTGAGCATTTCCCTACTACTCATATAATGTTGATTATCGTCTCGTGTGGGCTTAGATCTATAGAGAGCGTGGTTATCTATAGAGGGCGAGTGAGAGAGACTGAGAGATAGATGTTGAGCGCGAGAGAAGAGGAGGGAGAGAGAGCAGAAAGCAGGCAGTATGGACGGGGATGAGAGAGTAACAGAAGAAGAAGAGAGACACGGTCTGATACGGTCACTGTGAAATTCAAGTTCTTGAGGATTTTTGAGATCCTTATGAATGATGGTGATTGCATTCTGATGACCTGGAATGTAAGACACGGAGATCGATCTATTATATCTTACCGAGCGACGTCTCTGGTCTATATTCTGATGTCCAGAATATCGGTTCTAGGTCGTTCCCAGAGTTTGAAAGTGAAGTAGGGAACGTTTTTATTTTAAGGTATAGCGGTGTATCCGGGAGATTGGCTTGAGATCGATTCATCGGACTTTGTCAGTAGGCACTCGGGGAGAGCATGCCTCAACTGAATGAGATCAGAGGTGATTGGAGACCGCAATGAGAGTAGAGGTGGTGGTTGGTGATGGAGTGAGAAGATTGATCATTTATTTCTCGATTTCCCGACGAGCGAGTTAGAGGAGAGAGGCTGGACGTAGAGAGACGATTTAAGGAATCATCCAGACCAGAGACTGAGAATTCGCAGGATGCCGGGCCCAGACACGAGTTTTTTGAGAGATCTTTATTGTCTGGTAGGTTCTTGCAGAGCCGATCTGAGAGTCTTTGCTGGCCGTGATGAGGCCGCGAGAGTCGAACACGAGCAGGAGTTTCCCGCCGCCATTCTGCCGACTTCTTTACCGAAACTGAACGAAAGAAGAGGCCAAGCCAGGAGAGAGGAGAGTAGAATGATGAGATCGGTCGAGAGGCATCGGCTGATGACGAGTGAGAGCAAAGAGATTGGTTTAAAGAATCCCCGAGGGGAGAGATAAGTAAAAAACAAGAAAGAAGAAAAACCCACCAACCAAAATTCACCGGAACTGAAGGACTGCATGGCTAGCTGAGCCTGGACGAGCGTGGGGAGAGACCGACGCGTTCGATGCATCTGAGGACGGTCGGAAGGCGGAGAGTCTGCTATTATGGGGTAGGATTGGCGACGGTGAGAGATGTGAACATTGATTCTCCCGTTTGAGCTTTGAGATGATGATAGAGAGATGATCGAGATCTGTTATGACGGTTTAGATTTGACGACTTTCGGGGAGAACGTCGCCGCTGACCTTGTTCGAATGAGATGTCCGAGAGATAGATGCCTCGAGCACTGATGACGATGGGAAGGAGGGATTGCTGCGAGAAGAGAGTATTTGACTGAGGAGAGGAGTGAGAGAGGAGAGAGAGGAGGGGGTGGGTGTTTGGAAGGAGAACGGAGAAAAGAGAGAGCGGTAGAAAGAAAAAGAAAGATGCGACGATTGGATACGAGATTGGAGGAAAAAAGAAAAATAAAAAGGAAACTAAAAAGAGAGCAGGTTGAGATTATGTGAGGAAGTGAGGGAACGGAAGGAGCAGAGAGAGATGAGAAGAAGAGAGGAGAGGACGGAGGAGAGAGAGATGATTGTTGGAATAGAGAGAGAGAGAGTGTGTGAACCTGGAAGAAGGTAGCATTATTTTGAATTATTTTTAGAAATGCGTAGGAGGGTGAGAGACCATTATGACGATGTAAGAGTGAGAGCCGGCGCGGGGCTAGGAGGGAGGAGGGAGAGAGAAAAGAGAAGAGAAGTGCACTCCATATATTATGATATATGTACTTGTTACGTTAGTGTGTGTGTTCGAGCACGTATATTATACAGATGACACCATTTAGCGCAATTCGCATTCACCGCAACTCGAGGGAGGGAGGAGGAAGAGAATAGTATAGTTATATATATATAATATATTATATATAGTATATATTATATTATATAGAGATGAGAGGAGAGAGAGAGAGACGACGAGAGAGAGGAGAGCGTGAGAAGGAGGAGAGAGAGAGAGTCGAAGAAGTGAGAGTGAGAGAGCGAGAGAGACAGAGAGGAGATAGGGTAGAGAGAGGATGATGGGAGAGTGATGTGTGATGAAGAGGAGAGAGGAGAGGAGAGAGCAGGAAAGAGAGAGCTTATTTTCCTTCAACTCGATTCTCTCGTCCTGAACCAACGAGGCCCAGTCCCTCGCCTCGGCCAGGTCCTTACCCCCGCGCTACCCCTTCCCTTCAGAAGGACGGAGCGAAGGAGACAGTATTGTTGCAGAAAGAAATGCCTGGTTGCATGTCGTTCTGGTTTGATTATGGGTTGCAATAAAACAGTATTTTATCACATAAACAACTTTAATAAAACTATATATGTATAATATTTACAATAATCGCAGGCACCATTACTGCATAAGGCATGGCATATGATACATAAACATTTATAAACACACATATATAATGCAATAACACACACATACATATACACGCATACATACATGAATACATATACATACATACATACATATATATATATACATGTACATAAACTGTACACATGCATACACACACGCACATATACACGCATACAAGTGCAAAACACCAAATCATCACGCCCTTTGGTGATGACTGACTCCAGACGGGCGCAGAATCCAGTCTGGTTGGGAGGCGCCCGCAGCAAACGCACAGCATCACACCCGCACGCAATCTCAACACTGGCATCATACAGAATCTTGGAAGCAACCATCATTATCATTAAGTTATTATGTTAAGTAGACTTGGATGGAGTTTGGCATATCTATTTTTATAGATTTTTTTTTTCTGCGAGTGAAAATAAAATAGGAAACAGGATGGGATAAATGGAAGGCTCGGATGACAGCTAGATTGATGTAGATAGATGAAGACAGTAGCGTGTAGTATATCTTCAGAATCAACATTATAACCAACCACTGAGATATATATGTAAATATGCATTTTTTCTCTGAAATCGCAAAAGGTCTTTCAGGTAATAGTCTTGAAGTAAATGTGTATAAAAAGAATTGAGGAAACCTACATGGAGAAAGAAAAATACGCTTAAAATAGTAATTACGTAATGTTGGAATAGGAAATAACGAAATCTTTTGAACATCGACGTTTCAGCCTATTCGGTAATTCACTCTTGGATTTCCATCGACTTTGAGGTATTGTTGTTGCAAGTAAAAAAGAAGAAAAGCTTGTCCACTCGTTTCAACTCTCGCTCGTTTTCCACAAAACATATACGACGACATTCTTTCTTCTTACTCTTTCTTCCAGCGAATAAAAAATCATGTCGTAACTGCGCTTGTATGACTTCCACTGATAAACACAGGTCCTCTTGGAAACAAAAACAAAACATCCGAAGTATTTCTCGCAAAAAATCCACAAACTTATAAATAAAAGCACCAATAAACTCTTCTTAAGAGCCGGATACGACGAGCCTTTGCTACCATGAGCTGTCTCGAAGCCCGAAGCTTCTCTGTTTACTTTGGTTTACACACGTCTTGTATACAACACAAAACATGGATGGGAGGGAAAATAAATGGCCGGCAGCCGGTGTTTCTTTTTCTGTACAGAAAAAAAATACATCAAAATAACACGTCATGCACCGTAAGTGTTTGTTACTTCGTCCATGAACTGTTTTGTCTCAATGTTTTTGTTTGTCTGTCATTTTAAGTAAATGAGCAGTCAGGCAGGCACATTTGGAAGCATTTTTTCCCACATCAACTGCGTAATCTTGTACTACCGTGAACACATGCGTCATCAAAGTCTATTTATGTCCTGCGATACGAAGAGGACGCTTCTCCCGTCCGACATGGCTGAACTAGTCTTGCAATGACTTAGATAATGTTCCTCCCCATGGCAGGGGGGGGGGGGGGGGGGGGCCGCAGGCGCAAGGCCCAGCCACCGCGCCCTCGCCTCCTGCGTTACACTTGCGTCTCCGAGCCGCACTTGTGTCTCGCCGAGTGGGAATGGTGGTGGTGCTTGGTGGGCGCGGGCAGCGGGTACCTGGGCACGTATCCGTGGACGTCCGCCGGCCCGTCGTGCGGGCGGTGGTGGGCGGCGGACACGCAGTGCGTCGGCGGGTGCTTGTGGAGGTGCAGATGGACGTGGTGCGGCTGCGGCATGTGCGGCTGCTGCAGGTACGCCGGCAGCGGCTGCTTACGGGCGCTGAATCTCCTGAAGAGCTGCTTCCACGAGTTGAGCACACGCCCGTTCACCAGGAAGAGGCCGCCCATGATCCCCACCGCCATCGACATGAAAATCTTGAGCATGAAGACCTCCATGTTGGGCCGGACGCTGGGGTCGCGAAGCCAGCGCTCGCGCTCCACGTACTCGTAGAAGGTCGCGCCCACCTGCGGGCAACGAGGCGGTTAGCTGGGCAGCAGGCAGGTATGGGTCACTGCTTATCAATTCACATGCAAGCTCTCTCGTTCTCTCAATCTATTGCTCTACTTCATTCCCCGTCCCCGCCTCTCGCCCTTGCAAACACACAACCTTATCCAACCCACACACACAAACTCCTACAACCCCCCCCCAATTCAGCCCATAAGCCCACCCACTGGCACCCACCTTCCCCACCTCATACCCCCCCCCCGCCTCTTCCCCACACCCACCTGACACGTCGCCGGCACCATGTAGAGCACCGCCACCACGCCCACGCGCGCGGCCGTCACATCTATCCTGTCGGTCTTCATGCCTTCCTCCCGCAGCCGCCCTCGAGCCCGCCACAGGCACGCGAACACCACCAGCACCAGCGTCGCCCCCGTCACCAGGTACAGGAACTGCGGCACCAACACGAACCGCACCAGCGTCTCCGTGTTCTGCTGGCCCGCGTAGCAGGTGCCTGGCGGGGGAGAGGAGGGCGGGTGAGAGGCTGCGCGTAAGCGATTATAAGTAAAGGCTATTTATTATAAGTAAAGGGGAGATTGTAAGTAAAGCTTGGTTTATAAGACATGGTTGTCGAACAGCACATGACACGGAGATGCAGGGGAATCAGAACTCTGAAATGGAATTGTTCAGGAAAATAGTGCCACACTGACCAGCAATATAAAACAGGTTACGAATGATCCATGTGTTCATTATATAAATGATATCAAGTCATTCGAACAACAATGCAGGCGATAAGAAATGCAACTTTCGCAAGCATCACGTGGAAAGATAGTAACTATATTTACACATCGCTATATTAATCTAAAAGTCTTGAAAATACACTAAAACTTTATGAACATAATTGTACTGTATATACACGTATTTTAAAACCCCATTACCAACTATTTCTACTTATTTCATCTTCTAAACCTCCCTTCTTCATAATTTCCTCTTGAAAATATACATGAAATCTAAATAAGAACGCCTAAGATAAATATTGTAGATTCTTTTCCATCAAGGACGGCCTTCATACGCACGAAGAAACGTACACACATCAACTCAGATACGTAGGTATGCACTTTACACAAACACCCTCATCTCACACACATGCACACTTATATAAACATAGAATGCCAATTTATGTGGCTATCAATGCGACCAGCCTTATCGGTGAGCCTTCTATGGCAAGCGCGAAACGACCATGATAAAAAAAAGAAAAAAAAAACACTCCTCTCTGCTCTTTCTTCTCTCTTCATTCTTAGACTCTTCTTCTCTTCTTCTTCTTCTTCTTCTTCTTCTTCTTCTTCTTCTTCTTCTTCTTCTTCTTCTTCTTCTTCTTCTTCTTCTTCTTCTCTTCTTCTTTTCTCTTTTCCTTTTCTCTTCTTTTCTTTTTCTTTTCTTCTTTTCTTTTCCTTTTCCTTTTCTTTTTCTTTTTTCTTTTTCTTTTTCTTTTTCTTCTTCTTTCTTCTCCTCCCTTTTCTTTTTCTTCTCTCCCCTATTATAATTCCCCTCCTTTCGCCTTCCACTCCGATTCATCTTTCCACCTCCCCACCTCCTCTATTCCCCACTTCCCCAACTCCCCATTTATCAACCTCCCACTCTTTCACACCTCTTCCACTCCCATTTTTTCCCCCTCCATCCCACACTCTTCACTTCCCACCTCTTCAACTCCCCACCTCTTCCTACCTCCATTTCTTCCCTCCCCACCTTCCTCCATTCTCCCCTCCTCCACCTCTCCATTTCTCCACCTCCACACCTCCATTTCTCCCCCTCCCCACCTCCCCACCTCCACCTCCCATTTCTCTCTCCCCCTCCTCCCTCTCCTCCACCTCCCATTTCTCCTCCCCACCTCTTCCACCTCCTCCACCTCCCATTTCTCCCCCTCCTCCACCTCCTCAATTTCCAACACTCTCCCAAAACTCTTCTGCCACTCCATCATCGCAATTCCTTTCCTCTCTTACTTTCCTCTTCTATCTCCATCCACTCAGCTTCTAAGGGGCCCCCCGATGACGTCATGGACACGTTTCATCAATCCCCATCAATCTTCGGGTCACGGATGGATAAGGGTTGAGGGAGGGGCGGGCGAAGGGAGGGAGACAGGGAGGGAGGGAGAGAGAGAGGAGAGAGAGAGAGAGAGGAGAGAGAGGAGAGAGGGAGAGAGAGAGAGAGAGAGAGAAGAGAGAGAGAGAGAGAGAGAGAGAGAGAGAGAGAGAGGAGAGAGAGGAGAGAGGAGAGAGAGAGAGAGAGAGAGAGAGGAGAGAGAGAGAGAGAGAGAGAGAGGGAGAGAATATAGCTTAGATGAAGAAGAAGGAAACTGGGGATGAAGAATGGGAGGGAGGGGGGGGGGAGGGGGAGGGGGGAAGGAGAGGATGTCCCCTGCACCCCCTCCCTTCTCCCCCCCTCCCCCAACACTGAGTGACACCTGATGGTCCTGCCTTAAACCTGACGTCTTGAACCAATAATTTTCGCCGTGGCAGAGTTAAGACGTCAAGGGAACTCTGGATTCCCGCTGAAGATGATTCGAAGAAATGGAAATGTGTACGATTGTGTTCCGAAACGTGTCATCAGCTGTGATGTCTGATATTACAGCGTCTCTGTCCCTTAGCCTGCTCTTCGCACTCGCTATCTGTCTATCTCGATGCATTTTCTAGCGTTCTTTTTGGGGCAGATTTTTTTCTTGTTCTTTCTTATTTCTTTTTATCTCTCTTTATTTTCCTTTTCCTTCTTTCTTTCTTTCTTTTTATTTTCTTCTTTTTATCTTTCTTTTTTCTTTCTTTTTTCTCTTTTTCTTTCTTTTTCTTCTTTTCTTTTTTCTTTTCTTTTCTTTCTTTCTTTCCTCTTCTCTCTTCTTTCATTCTCTTCAACTCTCTCTCTTCTTTCTCTCTCTTCTCTCTTTCCCTCTCGTCTCCACGGTTGTTCCCGTCCTCACCCACCCTCCCCCGCCCCGCCCCTGACCAGCTCCTGCCCGAAATGGAGGTAGAAGAGGTGGGGAGGGGAAGAAATGGGAGGGTAGAAGAGGTGGGGAGGTTGAAGAGGTGGGGAACGTGGAAAGTGGGGAAGTGGAGAGAGGTGGGGAGGGGGAAAATTGGGAGGTGGAAGAGGTGAAAGAGGTGGGGAGGTTGTAATGAGGGCGTTGTGCGGATTAGGGTCTTGAAAGTCTTTCTTCTCTCAGCGTGCTGTGGGTATGCTAGTTTCGAGCGACGTTGGGTGATTTGGTACGCGCTTTATCTTTTTCGTCTCTGCCTTCCCTCAGACTCGCCAACCTTCACAAGTCCTCTGTGCTCAGTCCGTCCTCTGCTCTCTCAAGCTGCCTCGCTCACATCTCTCTCTCTAGGAGGGCGTCATTTTCTCTCCATCTCGTCTCTTCACTGATCTCTCTCTCTCATCTCTCTGCTCGCTCTCGTCCTCTCTCTCTGCTCTCGGATTTCTCGATCTCTCTTCTCTTTTTCTATCCTCCCCCTTCCACACTTTCATCTCTCCTCTCCCTCTCCTCTCCCATCCACACGACACACAAACCGCCGCCCATTGGTGTGAACTGTTTCTCGCCGCTATTTGCATTATGAATATTCCCGCTACCACTCGACAAAGGACTGTTGCCCCAGACCGTCCGGCATTAGCATAACCACCGGAGGGATCCTACAACCTGGCAAAGGGGTTTCTCTCTCTCTACTCAAATTACTCTGGTTCATTTGCATACGGCGAGGGAGCGTAGGAAGGGGAGGGAAGGGGGGGGGGGTGTCGAAGGAGCTGGTGGGGAGTGGAGGATGGGGAGTGAGAGGGAGAGGAGAGGGAGAGGGTGAGGGAGAAGGAGAAGGGAGGGGAAGGGGAGGGGGAGAGGCAGAGGGAGTTCGAATAAGCTTTGGGGTAAGGAGAGCGAGCAGGGAGAAGGAGAGAGAGGAAGAGGGGTGGTAAATGAAGAGAAGAAGGAGGGGCAGTTTGCAGGATGAGGTGGGGATGGAGGCAAAGAAGTGGGGAAGGAGGATAATAGGGAGGAGAGGAGGAGGAAGGAGGGTGTTAGGCGGAAAAGAAAAAAAGGAAGAGATGAGTAGAAAGGAGAGGGGAGGAGAGACAACCTGCAGATGAATGAAAGGGAGAGCGGAGAACACAGAGGTCTCAAAGGACTAAATAAAAGGGGGGAGAGAGAGAGAGACGAAGGGAGAGGCACACACAGAGCCGATAAAATAAGAGTAAAACACTGAGACGGACAGACGGATGGATGAATGGACAGAGATCCCTGCCATCCATTGCAAACCGAGCCTGCGCAACCAGTCACCTGTCGAGCCGTCAACATCGCAACTGCACAGTGACCTTGACCTTTGAACATGTAATTGGCATCAGCTGTTACATACAACCCGAAAGGGAGCAGGGGAGGGGAGGGGAGGGGGAGAAGATGGGTGGGAAGGGGGAGAAGAGGTGGTGGGGAAGGGAGGGGAGGTGGTTGGGAAGGGAGCGGAGGGGAGGGAAAGAAAGGGGAGAGAGAGGAGGGAAGGGGGAGAAGAGGAGTGGGGAAGGGAGGGGAGGGGAGGGGAAGGGAAGGGGAGAAAAGGAGGGAAGGGGGAGAAAGTGGGGAAGGAAGGGGAGAAAGAGGGGAGGTGTGGGAGAAGGGGTTGGGGAGGAAGGGAGGGAAGGGAAGGGGAAGGAAGGAGGAGAGAGGAGGGAAGTGGGAGAAGAGGGTGGGAAGGGAGGGAGGGGAAGAAGGGAAGAAGAGAGGAGGGAAGTGGGAGAAGATGGTGGGGAAGGGGGGAGGAGAGAGGAGGGAAGGGGGAGAAGAGGTGGGAAGGGAGGGGAGGGAAGGGCGAGAAGAGAGGAGGGGAAGGGGGAGAAGAGCGGTGGGAAGGGAGGGGAGGGAAGGGGAAGGAAGGGGAGAAGAGAGGAGGGGAAGGGAGGGGAAGAGGAGAGAAGGGAGGGGAAGGGGAAGAGGGTGGGGAAGAGGGAGGAGGAGGGAAGGGAAGGGAGAAGAGAGGAGGGAGGGAAGGGAGGGGGAGAGGGGAGGGAAGGGAAGGGAGGGGAGAAGAGGGGGAGGGACGGGAAGCTGATGTGAGGGAGGGGGAGGAGGGGGACGTCTATAAAGCAATTCGAGATACGAGTCAAATCGCGCCATTCAAGTTTGCTTAGTTCGCCAATGCAAGGCTTCATTGCAGGGCTTCTGGCTCTTCGTTCGGTTTCTTGCAATGAGTGCTTCGTCAATTCATCGCGAAATAAGGAAAAGAATTCGCAGGGCGGTGTTGGTACGTGTGGTTGTAGTGTGTTGTGTGTATGTGTGTGTGTGTGTGTGTGTGTGTGTGTGTGTGTGTGTGTGTGTGTGTGTGTGTGGGTGGTGTGTGTGTGTGTGTGTGTGTGTGTGTGTGTCTGTGTGTGTGGTGTTGTGTGTTTGAATTTTGGGAGTAGAATTTTTACTTCTTCCCCCCCCCGTCTTCCTCCACCCCTCTCCTCTTTAAAGTCTTAGAAAACAGCAATGAATATTTGCATATGTAA